CCCCCTTGCATTTTTTTCTGGGTCATAATGACATTGTCCAAGAGGATCACCTGTCTAATATGACCACTTTTCTCCTGGACAATGATTAGTTGTCAGAGACAGGTTCGACTGTGTCTACGAATTCTTCGTTTTGAGAAATTAGGATTTTTATATCATGGTGTAAACTGAATACACTTGGACACAGGCTTGCCAAATTGTGATGGTGACAAAACTGCTGGTGGACTGATTTGATATTTATAAACACAGTGGAATGTCATTTGAACACCTCAGTTCTGCCAATTTTGACATTGTCGCCTGTCGAAGCAAAAACTTTTTCATGTGTGTTTGTAAAAATATTTACAAGCAGAGTACTGTCTCTAGGTATTTTCTCTATTTCTTTATTTAAGTGGCAAAAATTATGTGGGCGCTGTCTTGCCTTGTAAGGCAGATTTATTCAGTTGTTCAGACTTATCAATTACCTTACCATGTGTGAACGATAGGATGCAGTCTAGACTATGTTGTATAGCAATCAGTCAAGAAAAACCCCTTTTCTTTACTTGTTAAACCTTTGAACTTGTCTAGAGCTGTAGAAAATTTGTTCTTTTATTTTACATCCTATCCTTCTAATGTCAGATTAACTGCATTTTTTAATATGATGTTTTTGCTCCTCTCTTTTGATAACAGGCACAGAACCGCTGTCCTTTTATTTGATCAACGGGTTCCTGAATTTTAACTTTGTTTATCTCCTGGCTCTTGGTTCTTTACCTTTTTTGGTAAGTGGATTTTTTATTGTGTGCATTTGTTTGTATTTTTGTGAGTGGGTGTTTTCATGCCTGCTTTATGTGTTTATAAGAATTCAATCATGTGTACACTGCATTATCAGGACAGTTGAATGCTGCTCCTGGGTTTTTTTTGTTCTTTTTTTAAAACTGGAAGAGAAAATTGAAACGGTTGCCACGGAAGGGTTTAATTTTTCATATTTTCAAAGACTCAGCCCCATTCTTTAAGCTTATGTTATGCATTTTGCGCATTCAAGAGTGCCCAAGTAAAAGATTTGTAAATCCATAAAATCTGTGTGTCTAGTTTTTGGGCTTAATCACGGATGTTGTAGAACCTGCTTCTTTTTCTTCTTCTCTTCAGAGTTTTTATTGTTCTACTTTCACTTGCATGTGTACTGCTAGCTCTGTTGATCTGATGCTTGACTGTTTTTAATCCCTAATGGAATGTTCTTGAACTTTTGTTGTTTCGGGAGTTGTCAAGACTTTTCACTCACTTGGCTCGTCTTGTTGGAAAGGAATGTGTTGGTGGTTGGCGGAAGCTCTGGTGGGGTTTGCTTCTTCTTTCCTGTCAAACATCTGTCATCCCCATCTCTCCTTCTTTTCTTTGTATATCACTCTCTAGTAACATCTCTAATCTTTACCACTCATATGACTTAATTGTGTTGAAAGTGCCCTAAAGTTTGTACTGAAGAAAGAGGTGTATGTTAAATTTGTACTTCTGTCATCTCAAATGAACTTTCTTTAAGTGTTTGAAGTAGTGTTAAACCCAGCCCATAACTACTCCTGATGAAACTGTGGTCTTCGTATGGCTGATGTTGTGTGCACTCCTGACCTTTTACAATTTGTGCTCTTTTCCTGAATGAAATCAAATTTGAGTTTCACTTGATTTAGACCAGTTACAGTTTTATCCTTTTTTTTTGCTTCTTTCAGCTGTTGACGTCATTGGTGGTGGCCCGTGCCTCTTCAAAACGTGAGTGTACAGGAAATGAGCCCCCCCCCCTTTTTTTTAAATTTTGCTTTTATATTTGTCAGTGGGATAGTAATATTTAGATAAATTTTTTTAACATGTACTTGAAGGGCATCACTGGTAGGTCTCACTTCTTTTCATTCCCTCTGTTGTTTCTGTCTGTTTGTCTTGCTTTTGCCCTGCCCAAGATGACTGTTATTGTGTGAATATATGCTTCTCTTTCCTCAAACAGAACAATTATTTTGTGGTTGAATAGGGCTCTAAGGACAATGGTTTGATTACAATACTATTGTCTGTTCTTGCTCTTTTTGTCTTTTGACTATATGATGTTATTGAATGTTCTCCTCTATGGCTCCTGTAAGTTTTTGTGTCAAAGTATGGTATTGAGATCCCCATCTGTCCTCGCAGTATTATGCAAAGTTAGATGCCAAATTATGCAACACGTATGCAAAATTATGCAAAAATTATGCAAGTTACCATATCACCATTCAGGACATGTTTTACACTTTTTCAACAAGAATGTTCATGTCTTATGTACAAAAGAAATGTAAACAGAACATATATATTAGCCTATATCTGAGCAGTATCAGTAATTTTTGGTGTATTTTTGGACAGAAAATAATACACATCAATCAGATAAAAACAACCTGTAACTTTCAGCTATATAGAGGATAGAAATAATTTTAAAAAAAATTATTTTAAAAAAGAAAAGAAAAGAACAGAAAAGAAAAAAGAGAAAAAAAACATTGGACCTGACCGACACATCAAATAAAGGCAAAGTATTATATCTGATGTGTTGAGGTGGTGACAGATACGCTGACAGACGAAACAATCAATTTTAACATATAGTACTGTGGTGATGTGATGATAGACAATAAATATGCTGATAAAAAAATAACCCCTCACAGGACAGACAATGCGTGAAAATAGACCAGAAACGTGTGTTGTGTTGATAAATTGTCGTTGACGTTCACTTGCGGACGTCTTGGTCGCTATCTTGTTATAAAAAAAAATTAGATCTATCCATCACCACTTCGTTACGTTACGGGGTAGCCATTGCAAATCGGGTCGAGTCGAGGGCAACGCGACTTTTTTGAGTCGGCGAGTCAGGCGCAATCGACTTGTGCCACGATAGCCGCTTTGCGCCCTCAATCTGGCTAGCAAACTGCCCTGACCTGACCCGATCCCCCTATGGGTGTAGTGTAAATCTATGGTGAACATCAACAAGCCTAGGCTAGTTAACTGAAATGGATAATTATGGACTTTGTGTACTTCACGAAATTAAAGAGTTCTGTTTTCGTAGAAAAAATCTTTCGCTCTTTTGACAGTAAAGATATAATTGTTTTCTGAAAAATGAAAAAATAAAAGTGGAAAAACGCTGGGAATCCAAAATTATGCAAGTGTTGCAGAATTATACGAAAAAATGCGGCCGCCGCCGCACAATCGCATAATCCAAGGGGGACAGCCTAATGATACCTTTTTACTTTTTTTTGGGTACAGTGAGTTCTGCATGCTTTTGTTGTGCTTTGAAGAAATTTTGAACTACCAATTATATACAGTCAAACCTGTGTAAGACGGCCACCCATTGTCAAGGAGAAAAGTGGCCGTATAAGACAGGTGGCCGTCTTAGGCAGGACTGATCAAAATGAAGAAAACAAACCATTCCCATCTGAAGTCCCAATCGAAAGTCGCTGCATTGTTTCTTGTTTTTGTTGTTGTTGGTTTGTATTTTGTTTGTTATTTTTATTTCGTTGCTGATTTTGCGCAAGAGCGACAATAAAACGAAATGTATCAGACAAGGAAGCCCGAGTACCATGTTAAAACAAACACATGGGTCGCCACCACACGGAGAACGAGTGACGCGTTCATTTTGACGTCCATTGGTTTCTTTGTTACAGACTGGGTAAACTGTGACCACTCATCTCACTTACGATTTGTGTATGAGTTCTGGGCGGGGCTTATGGGTTATGAGGGATCACATGCTTACCTCACCAGCAGCTGAAAATAGATACCTATTGGTCAACAGCGGGAGGGGCCTACCCAACATGATCGGTTGGAGGGACTACCTAACAACAACGAC